AGCGACGCATTTAAATTTTCAGTGCAGGGCATAAAACAGCAACAGCTGCAAAGAAGTCTCCACAATGGAGCCTCGGAACCATTTTACCAAACATTTTGTAAAATGTTGAAAAAGATTTTTATTTCTTTTTCATTCATTTTATTTTATTTATTTTTTATTTTTTTTTAAGACAGCACACGCCCAGGCAGTAGGCGGATTTCTATGAAAGCACAGGCCCAACTCCTGACCAAATCGCTAAAAGATGTGTGAAAGGCGGTGAAAAGGCAGTGAAAGGGCGGTGAAAAGGCGAAGGCGGAAACAAAGGATTGCGATGGCGTTAAAGGTTAAGCTACGTATAAAATTACATCGGGCTATGGCACAGCTGCTACCGTTGATATTTGGCAGTCTCTATGATTCGGATTTACGCGGGTGGGTGACATTTGATTTGTGGTGCTGAAATATCAGAGGCGGAACATCAAAAGCTCAGCCCTCGCTCATATTCAATTAGCAGACAGAAATTCAAAATGCTTGCTAATTTATTAATGGCTAATGTCACATTTTTGATGCTTTCAAATGACATTGAAAAATTATCTATGATATATGTATGCGTGTGTGTGTGTGTGTGTGTGGAGCCTGTTTCTGCTTCTGCACGTGTATGAGTGGATGTTGCTTAATGGCCTGGCCCCCAACAAGTGGGGAACTGTGACATAAAACAATTTAGATAAGCAAAGTGTGTGCAGGGCACAGAACGCGTCTAATACTTGAACACATATTTACATACTCGTTCAAAAACGTACGAGTTTCCCTTTCAGCTCTGCTGTGCAGTCGTGTGTTTGTTTTTTTCCACTGATTTTGCAGAGCAAGCTTTATTTTCTCTTACTTTTTACTTATTTTTTTTAGCAACTTAATCAGTTAAATATTACGGGCTCTTAACGTTGACAAACTTGCTTTTTGGCTCCAACTTCAGTTTTTACTTGGGGGAAAGTTACACGAATGGAGGGTCGAAGTGGTCGCTGCTGGAATTCCAAGTGCCTCGATTAAAGTTCAACTATAAAAGTGAGCGAAATGTAAGAGACAAAAGCCACAGTGTTCTGCACTCAAGAGTTGGGCCATAAAATATTGAGTGTTTAAGTGGGTAACCCAATGCTTGGGGTTTTTATAGGCCAAGTGGACGAGGGCTGGTCACGACACACAGAAGGATACAAAAAAAAACAGAACAAGAACAATATAAAATAAAATAAAAATAAGCTAAATGCTGGTAGCAAGGGAGCTGATGGAGCTGATGGGGCTGACCGGTGTCGGCAGCCAAAGGCAGCCAACAAATCAAATAATAAATAAAATAAAATAGTCCCAAATTGCATTAGGCGTTGTCACATCAGGGCGATGGGAATAATGCTGCCTATCTGTCGATAACAATGTATTCCATTATGTGAAGCACAAATTGCGGCTCACCTGTGCTGGACATCATCCAAATTGCTTGTCCTGTGCAATTATAATGTATATTTCTTCTACTGCTGACACTTAATACATTATGCGTATCGCACAAATGCACAAACACAATACAACACGCACACTAGACACACTAACGCACACTAATACATAACGCTAGCCCAGTCATATTTGGGAGTCATCGGCACTTGGGCGAAACACATCAATGGCGAAACGCACGCCGAGTCACTGTACTGCTGGCCGGCTCAAAGTTTGTTTTGCTTTCGCGTAATACGCACCGAGCACGCCTTTAAGTACGCCGTCAATTCAGATTTAAATTGCCGTGAACGGCATGAAGTGTCCTAACCAGAAGCCGACGAACCCTTATCTGAAACGTATTGCAGCCATCGCACGGAAATTGCTATGAAATTCAATTGACGAAGATTTCGCGCGTGCGCATTGCCTAACAGCGAGAGCGACTGCTAACGTCTGTTAACTAACAGCAGAGTTAACAGTGCGAGTTTGAGTTTGAGTTCGAGTTCAAGTTCGAGTTCGAGCTGTTGTCCTCAGTGCGTAGGTAAGTGCTTAACTTGACATGAAGTTAAGCAAACAAAACAAAAGTCAAGTCGTATTCTCCCTCTCTCTCTCTCTCTCTCTCTCTCTCTTTCTCTCTAGCTCTGGCTCTGCTTTCAGCTTGCAGTCATAAAAATATCCAGCAACACACCGACCCGTATGTACACAAAATTAGGAAATGGTATGAGATTGGGCCCAAGTCACGCATTCGCATGTCTTTGGCATCTCTGGCAAATAAGCTGTTGATTTTAAAATCATTTCGTATGATTATCAAATCATTTGCTGTCACCAAAACTGCCCTGGCTCATGCCATCCTAGCGACGTGCCCGATGACAAGGCTAAGACCCCGAGAGGCCTCTTTAACGAAATGCTAAGATGTTGACAATTATGAAAATAAAGCATCTACATAATAACCAAAAGCCAATGACTGTATAGGGCTCCTCGGGTGGGCTTAAACGTTGTGGCGCCCTTTGACTGCCGCCCACGGTCTGTGGTCGCCGCTGCGGCTTCACTCAAATGCCGCAAATCCCAGACTGCGCTCTTGACATTAATGGCTTGCAGGTTGCCAGATAACTGACAAGCCCCAACGACCGGATGTGTGTAAGCCAAGCTCAAATCGCTACCCCAATAAGCAGATGCTCGTGTCAACAAAATGAGCTTTGCGCACAGAATGACTTGATGTATTGAGCATTATATAAGACTTTAGAGACTTCTTATGTGACTTTTAATTCATAGTAATTATGCACAACTGTTAGATGCTATAATCTCTGAGATCAAACCAGAGACGTTGTGACGATTGATTACAAATAGGCATTAGAAGGATTTGATTTTGATTTCGATAGAAATCCTTATGGTACATATGCCACGCCCTTCATTTGTGAGTTTGTTTAAGAGCGGATCAGGACAGTGGAGTTTCTGCTTTCAGCTGCCACAGTTGGCTGCACATGCAAATAACTTGCATAAAAGCGGAGAAAGCAAAAGATAATCAGATTTCATATCAATAACCAATAACCGTCAATACGAGTGAGTGAGTGAGTGATGAGGGGCGACAGTGTATGCGTGTGTGTGTGTGTGTATTTGTATGTTTGTGTATGTCTTTGGACAGTGTCAATATTTGTGTAGTGGAATTCGCTAGGAAACATACACACACACACAAACATGATGGGCATTGTTCGAGGATACAAAAATGTGGTTGAGATACAAAGTCAGTCAATGAACTGAACACGGTAACTGATGAATGCAACTGTTTGCTGTGCAAGCGTGTTGAATAGCCTTTGCTATGGTATACAGACACACAGAGACACACACATAGACACAGACACAGGCAGCAGCACATACCTGTAGAGCAGACAATTGCCGTGCATACAAGCCAATATCAGGCAAACGCTAACGGGATAAAAGACAGGCAGCAAGCTCGACTTGATAGCATCACTTGACAATTGAAATGAGAAAGCAACCCGAACACAAAGCGGCAGGCGCAACTGAGCTTAACATGAGCCACCCCCAGGCATGACTGACTGACTGACTGGGTGATTGGTTGACTGACTGACGTTCGTTCTATTGGAGCTGAGCAGGCCACTACACGTGTGACACTGCAATATCTCAGCAGCAGCATCAGCAGGCTAACTAAGCGTTGGCTGCAAAGATCTCATTAGCACGCAGAGCCCGTTAAACGTTTTGCAATCAAATTAATTGCCTCGCCAGAGATGCCGACGAGTATTCATAATCTGAAACAATTTCGCATTAATTAAAAGCCAATAAAAGTGAAAATTATCAAGAGGAGACGGAGACAACACGGCAGCAGGTAAACAGGCGCCTACTTCATTAATAACGCACCGCCCGCCGCTGCGTGGGTAGCTTGGCGCGTAATGGAAACTAATGAAATGACAATTTATTGCAAAAGCAGCCGAAGCTCAACCTCAAGCTGCCAACATGCAGCCAATTAGTCAGCCAGTCAGTCGCTGAGTCGGACAGTGGGACGCTCGGTCAGTGCGGTAGCTGGAGCAATGGCCAAAACTCAATTAGTTTTAATTAATTGTCGCCGCAACGGTACTTGACCAGCAGATTTCCGCGCTTGTGCTGATTCAAATGGATTGGAGGCGCTTAGATTTAATGGGGGCAGCCGTGCTGGCCGGAACTGAGCCGACACGCCCGTCATCATCGTAATGGCCCGGACTGTCCCAGTGTACGCTGTGCAGTGAAAAGGCCCAAAGTCCCAGATTGTGACTGACTGACTGACTGAGCCTCAGATCAAGCGTGTCGGGCATGGCAGCCAAGTCACGGCTAGCTAGCCCGAAGGCCCATCAAATATTTACACATAACTACGTCTGTCCCAGCGTCGACTAACTGCTGGCGTCTCCCCATATACATATCGATTAAATTGGCTTGGGGCCACACAAGTTAGGTGTCCAGCTGTATAATTTAAGGACATTATTAGTTGGGGGCATTTAAATAGAGTCACATGTATGCACACACATACGCACATACCCACTCATATGCCCACACTTGTGTGTAAATTTCTCGACAGGAAAGTTGCAGCACAAACTTGGCAGCCAAGCTAAGCGTTTCAGTCCGAACGGAGTCGGGACATGCAAACACCGCCCACGGGCATGGTAGACCCTCAAGTTAATGTGCGCGTTCGAGTATGTGTGTGTGTGAACCACAACATGTGTCGTCGGGCGTGAACAAAAGTGCTCCAAAAATCACATTACCAATATGGCATCGCAGCCCAGCTTGGGCTGTGGCTTCAGCATTGCCATCAACATTGGCATCAGCATCAGCATTGGGATGGGGCCCGGGGATAATGCCTTAATGCGTCTAAACTTGCTGTAAATCACCGTGCTTTCAACTAATTTGCCGTCTCCTCGGGCCAAGCCAGGTGTTAAGGCTCCCAAAGCCGAGCAATCGACCTAAACCGGCCCCACAAAGGCTAACCAAAACTGTCAAGCATTTTAATGGAAATTCTGCTTTAATAGAGTTCTTTGACTTGTTATCAAATAGTTTTCTCAAATTTGCAATGTTTTAATTTCGTACGACTAGTTTCTTTTACTACCGAAAATTAGAAAAGTAAATATAGATTTTTATTATGAAAGTCAATAAAGTCTCTCTCGGGAGAGCAGGTTTTTCAATTATCGTTGCTTACATTAGTTTTGATCAACATTCTCAAAATGCTCAGAAGCAGTCAGTATATTAGCATATTGAACCAGGCATTGCATTTTTAGTATAAATTAGCTTCCAATACTCTAGTAGAGTACATTCAGTCTTCCACCTTCAGGCAGACACCACCTAAAGAGATGTTTCGATTGGTAAGTGCCTAAGAACAAATCCCTGGATCTATTGCCATAACCAGTATTAACATATAAGTGTATAATCATCAGCTGCTTATTGTGTCGGCTTTGATTGCCTGTGCGTATGCCAGACCATTGGATGAAGCCCGCGCAACCGGTGATGTTACCAGCAACATCGACCCTGATGGTAGCTACAGTTACTCTTATCGTACCTCCAATGGAATCTCTGGTCAAGAGGAAGGAGTTGGTGGACAGCGTGTCACTGGTAGTTACTCTTACAATTCCCCAGAGGGCAAACTGATCAAGAATTCATACATTGCCGATGAGAACGGATACCAACCAAGTGTGCCTACCAGACAACCTACAAGGCCACCCACCACCTGGATCCCATCCATATCTTGTAGAGGCCTGAAGTGTGGTGCAGGTTAAATATTAATTGCTCACAAATAACATCAGAGTGTTTTATTATAATATTGTGTACTTGGCTGGTTTTAGATAAACGATAACTGGAAAGTGAAGATATAAAGGTTTTGTAAGCAATTTATTTTGATTTATAGTAAAGATCTAGATCCTTAGCGGTTCAGGGTATCTCATATTTGAACATCCCATGCAAGCAGCCAGTCATATATGTATATGTAGCATATATAACGACGTACACATATCCCTGAGCCCACCAAGCGAATTGTACAATAGCGGAAAATGTCTTCAACTCATTTAATGTAAGTAAAAAATGTGTGCACACCCATAGGCATCTATAACGCTCATATATGTACAGACGTTATGTTCTTTGTGGCCTAGCTCCAAACCATTTCGAGTTGCCACCACCAGCAGCAGCAGCAACAACAACAACAACAAAAGCAACACGTACACAAAGCGCGCCAATATATCGCAGCTTGGATATAATGCAATTTGTGTGTGAACTTTTTAATGTAGTTTCACACACACTCACACACAATCACACTCCGGCACACACACACGCGCGCAAAAGCACCAAAAATATACAAAATGTTACAGATAGCCAAACAGGACGCACATGAGCTTATCAAACATAAATATTTACGTACACAAAGGACGTGACTCCGGACGTGGTCGAACAAAATACCGACGATGCGACTAATCGCCTGCCACGAGCAGCCAACGAACACGAACTGAGCGCCACGAGCGCCACGATGAACCGTTAAAAGGCGCGTATCCTGCATGCTGTTAGGCCTAACAGCGACTGTTAAGTAGCTGTTAAATGCTAGCTACGAAGCCAATGAATATGCTCAAGAAGTTTTCTTTCATACGTATGTGTCTGTGTGTGTGTGTTTGAGTGTGGGTGTGTAGTCCATTGTGCATTAAATATGAAAATGCGCCGGTGACAACAAAGAACAAGTAAGAAAGCTCTAGTCGAGACTGCTCGACTACGAGATCCCCTGAACCCTTGGAGCAATAGATATTTCAATAATTTTTCGCAACTTTCAGCTTACACAAGTAATACGCACACACACACACACACGCACGTACGCACACACAGGCATATATACACACACACGCATACAGACACACTTACACACACACACACGCATACATACACAAACGCATACACACACACACATACACAAACACATACACACACAAGCAACCACGCATAAACACGCATGGGCTGCAGTGTGCGCTTACTATGAGAAGTTAATTGTTTATGGATGTACGATCTTCATGAAACTTTTAGAATATGATTATGACATGAATATGCATGTAATTGCCAAAGCACAAGTCTCTAGTATTTGAAATACGCTTTTTACAAAAGTGAGGGTGAGGGGGTGAATTTAGAGGTGGGGGGTAAATTTTAACAAAAACCGAAATTGTATAAATTGCATATAAGCATACATTAAAAATTTGGAGACTCTAGCAATAAAGGTGTAGAAGATATAATTTTATAACTGGGTTTCGATAAGGTTTTTTATCGATAAAAAAAGATCGAGATGAGTTATCGATTTTTAATGATAAACTTGATATGCGCGCTGTAATTACGGACATTTTAAAAAAAATTTAAAGTCTCTAGCTCTTATATCTTCTGAAATCGACGCGTTCATACATACGGACAGACGGACAGACGGACAGACGGACGGACGGACAGACGGACAGACGGACAGACAGACGGACAGGGCCAAATCAACTCAGCTCGTCGCCCTGATCAAGAATATATATACTTTGTGGGGTCTGCCACGCCTCCTTCTCCCTGTTACATACATTTCAACAAAACCATTATACCCTGATTTCCCATTGAAAATGGGTTCAGGGTATAAAAATAATGTTCAATTTTGGAGCAACTAACATAGCAGCTGTTGTATTCACCTAAAGGTATATAGCATGTTGCCAGCAGAATGCACTTGCTCTCATATATCATTTAACATCAGCGAAGGCGAGCAATCAAATCGTAGATGCCATTCAGTAAGCGCTCGCTGCTGACTAAATGAAACAAATAACAATAACTACTAGCGCACACGCACACTCACGCAGCATAGGAGAAATCCGATAGCCAGAGCAGCAAACACTATGTCAGTTATTGGATTTCATGGCATGTCAAATGCATTTGGTAGCATCAAGCTACTACATTGTTGAGTTGTTAAATGTAATGGCGCGCCCGGTGACTGCGGACAACAAAGCAACGCAATGGCTCTTCATCGCACCACTGGAATGGGCAGGTGTCGACTAAGCGGCATCTTCACTTCGCATCCGTCCCACTCACATGTGGCTGTCGGCTTACACTTTTTTTGGTGGTGTCGGACCACTACAACTCAACTTTTTAATGGTTAGACGTTCGGAGATTGAACCTTCGACTGTGGGTTCTTGGCTATTGATTTTTACTTTTAAAATAAATTGGTTTCGTTTGTCTGCGCTGCTACTTTTACTGTCGACAGGGACAGCTAACGTAGTGCCCGCCTCGGTTTGACTTGGCTGGGCTAGCCAAAACTTTTCTATAGCAATTATTGCTGGAGATTATTTTTCATTTGATCGCCCTTGCACTGCATTGGCTGTCAGCGCCTCCAGCTGCTGTGGCATCAGCTATTGTTATTAATACTCGACTCAGCGACGAGAAAAATTGCATCCCAAATGAAATGTGATGGGACTGAACGTCACAAACAGTTTTCCCATTCAAGCCTTATGTCCAGCTACTTAAAGCGTTTCCAAAATTTCATTTCAAACGAAATGCTAAAGATTACGGCTCGAGTGCCCGAGTAATAAAGAAGAAGAGAAAAAAAATGGAAAACACCCTTCTGCTCTACAACCCTTTAGCTTGTCATTGACGTCTCCGTATTCGTCCTCGTCCTCGCCCACCTCGCCTCTCAGGTCCACTTTTAGCTTAATTGAAATGCTTGTGCTTTGCCTACCATTTTTTCTATCCACTTCCGAGTAGTGTTTGTGTGCCGCATTATTTTCGGGCACTCACTCGCATATTTTTCAGGCTACGTGACACGTGCTATTAGCCATATGGCACCATACCCTAACCCGTAACCAGACCGACCACACCGGAATCGAGCGAACAGTGACAAAACAAAGCCATTTTTTTAACATGAACATTTGGGCTTCCATACACCATGTTTGGCAAACAGAAATGGTGGCCACTTCAGAGAGCGCAAGAGATCTGTTTGCATTACAATAGCCCCCCAAAGGCTTAACTCAGCCACACAGCTCCCCAGCTCACCAGCTCGCCGGCTCAATGACTACTGTCTCATTGTTTAACTGCGGCTCTGTTGCTGGTGCTAAATGTTGGAATTTTATGCGCTTGATGCCGTCCATGGATTCCTCCATAAAAAGCTGCAACTGTTAAAGTTGATAGTATAATACACATATTGTTGAGCATTCAATATACCTGTCTCTCATCCAGCGAAGCCACCTCAATTAATTTATTTTATTGCCTAAACCTGATTGCCATTGGTGACTTTTGTGGGGACTTTCAATTTCGTTGCATTCACAGTTTTCTGGTTTGATTATGGCTTTGTTTGCCAACTGATGTTCTTAAGTCATTGATTCACGCTTAATATAAATACAACTCTATGCAGAAACCGGCTGGCTTAAATTTAGTTTGTTAAAGTTCAGATGAACCGTATCAAAAAGGAAAAAATAAAACATGCTAATTTTGACAGCTGTTGATAAATAAATAGCAAATATAAATGGAACTATATTAGAATAATGCATAAATAAATAAATAAAAAAAAATAAAAAATGCCATAAAAAATGAAAATTATGAATACATGCGCATGTTAAAATAACAACGGACGTCAACCGAGCGCAGCATGTCTATTTTGAAATGTATTCATATCCTGTCCTAGCGATATGGATCACAAATTCTCTCGCACAGCCCAGCATTGGAAATTAGGAATGCCTTTGTCGTGCAGATAGGGCCCACATTTCCACAAAACATTTATCATCAAGTTGAAAATAAAATAATAAAATGTGAAATAGAAGTTTTTGATTACACAGCAGACTTTGTTTTGTCAGGGAGTCAAACGACAAGCGACAAACGACAAACGGCAGCATCAGCACTCAAGCGCGAGCACCTGTGTAGGGCTGGAGCTGGGGGCGGCAGGAGGCGTTCGAATCATTTAAAGAGCGATTGTGTTTACCTTTCGTTTCCGGCGCTCTGGACAGACATTTACATAAAAGTGGGCAAGCGATAAAAACATTTATGAAAAAAATAAAAGAAAATCAAGCCAATGTTTGAATTAATTACAACTCGCATGTAAATATGTAAATATAGCTTATATATAGCTATATACATATATATTTACTTAATGTATTCAGGAGTGCTTATACAAATTGTAAAGAACATCCACACCTATACTATATACTTATATGTATGTGTATAATATGACATGCTCGCACATACTTAATTTCCTCATGCGCCTTAATCTTTTTAATTAACTACTCATATCCGCCACAGAGCACGCCTAATTGATATGGGGAGCCTGCTAACGTATTCCCATTGCCACAACTCGTTGCGTGCATTGTCTGTGTGTGTGTGTGTGTGTGTGTATCCTCGCGCGTGCACAGTCTCCTCTCGAGTTCTTAATGAATTTCAATTTTCTCAAACAGCTAAAAAAGTTGGCAGCCAAACTGAACCTCAAGTTTAGCTCATATTCTCGCCAATTTGATGCAAGTGCTCGCACATTAAGTACAGTAGTCTCTGACTCTGATAGCTAAAGTTGATCACAATAGCCAGGTTTCACTGTGCTGGAATGTTCTTTGTTAGCTACGCACAAGGCTAGGCTTTATCTATGAGCTGTTCTGTCTGATTTGTCGTCTGTTATTAGCACAGTAATTAAGCTTTGTCCAACTGGCAATGAATTAGCAAGAAAACACTTTAATTAGTCTCACTAAACTTCACGATTATATGCAATAGTTTATTTGTACATCTTAGACTTATGTAGTAGGGGCAAAGTCGAGCTCTAATTGACGACTTGCTTATAATTGGCGTGCGCGCACTTCCCGATCGGCCAACTCTTCGGGCGTGGGATGCTGCTGGATGTATTGAATCGACCTCAGAATGTAGTCGGGGATGGGAGGTGGAGTGGGCAGCAGATCTGACTGGGGCTGGTAGCCATTTTCATCGGCCACATAGCTCACCTGAACTGGAACACCTTCGGGTGACACCCAAGCAAAATATCCCTTTGCATACTGTGAGCCGACGCCTTGCTCCGTGAATACCGTGCCATCGCTCGTCTCAGCGGTATGGCTGAAGGAACCATCCGTGTCGGCCTGTATGTCGAATCGGGTAATCTGAGCCTCATCTCCTGGACGGGGAGCGGCGGCGGCGCAGGCCAATAGTGCGGCGAGGAGGAGCTATTAGCAAGCAAAATCTGGATTCAAACGGATACTCCAATCCACATTGAGCTGGCTACTTACCAGCTTGTACATTGCGTTGCTGGTGCAGTCTTTGGACGTCAGTTGTGATGTGAGCTCTGCGTCCATGCCCTCAACTATATATAGTATGTGAAGATATTCAGATTTCAATACCAATAATAAACGCTTAATATGCAAATTGATTATTTCGAGTAACCCACTTTGAAGATATACCTAGTAGCATGCGTAGACTCAAGCAGACACATCGACTAGATAATACGCTATCTTAAGCTCTGTTAACATGCATCTTTATTTTAATTAGATTTGGCAAATACTGTGAGGTTGTAGTCACATAACTATAATTATAAATCTTGTTTTCTTGTATTCATTTCATGTACTTTTGCCATCTCCGCGTTGCTTCAGAAATTCAAAGTACCGCTATACTCTTCTTTTGTTGTTGTTGTCGACCCAAATCTCGAACGTAGCGCATCAAATGTTGGTCCAAACACTGCAAAATCCACAAGAGACAACAACAGCCACATAAATAAGTATGTTAATTAAAACGTCGAGGCGAACGAGCCGCAGTTGCAAGGTAAATGTTGCAACATTAATCGAAATGCTTCAATCCACTCAAATGTAGCTCCAATGGCTAATTAGCATAAGCACAGCTACACCAACAGCAGCAGCAACAACAACAATAATAATAACAATACCAATAGCTAACGAATTTATTAATGTTTAATTTCATTTGACCAAAACTGATGCAAATGCAGATGGGTCGCTGGAAACACACCTAAAGTTAAAGCCCCTTGTAAACGGAGGATTTATGATACCGACAGCTGCTGCCGCTGCCGGTGCTGCTGCTGCTGGGTCTGTAGTGTTGGCAGCCATATGGCCACGGTATGCCGAGGTAGTTGGCTAAGAGCTACGCCATTTGTACATAGTATAAACAACAATATTAAATTGTATATTTTTTCTTTTTATTACATTATTATTATCTCTGGCAATAAATGTCAACGTCAGCGAGCCGACAAAGGACACAGCGCCCAGGAGCGGGCAGCTGAATGTGTGTGGGAGTGTGGGTGTCTATATAGATATATATGAATGTATATAAGTATGTACAGTGCGTATATGTATGAGCAGTATGCGTTGGCGTTGGTATTGGCATCCCCTGGCTCCAGCCTCAGCTTCAGCTTCAGTTCGAGCATCAGCATCTGCCGCAGGTTCAGCACCGGAGTCAACTATGCTGAGCCAATGCTGTTGTCGCTGATTGTTTGCTCATGTTTGTTGGCTCGGCCATGCAATAAGCATATGCAAAAACACGAACATGAATGAGCACACAAGCTGAGGCGAGCGGCTGAAGGCGGAGTTGGCTGGACTTAAACTACAAGATGAACGAACAAGCTAACGCGGGGGCAAAGGTCCCCCAATGCTGCCACTGCGGCTGCTTCTGCTGCTTCTGCTGCAGTGGCTGTGCAGTGAAGTAATTTAAATCTTCTTCTCGTATGGCAGACCAGATGCCGGCGCCTGCAGGAATTGATTGGCCTGCTCGCCATAGCCATTGCCGCCATGGCCATGATTGTATTGTCCCTCGTTGTCCTCCTCTGGATGGTCGCGATTCCATTCCAGTGACTTGATAATGGCCTCCGGAATGGGATGGGGTGTGGGCAGATGCTCACCCTGCGGCTGGAATCCATTCTCATCAGCCGTATACGTCAATTGGATCAGTTGGCCCTCCGGTGTATAGTACTGAGATGAGCCGCTGGCATAATATCCTCCTACACCCTGCTCCTGCTGCGCGATGCCGTTGCTCGTCTCGAACTGATACTTGTAGCTGTTGTCATCCTGCTTCAGCTCATTCACATAGCTGCGAATCTCAGCGTGCGCATCGGCCGAATCCGATGGCGCAGACTGCACGGCGCTCACAAAGACGGCAGCAACAAGTACGACGAGTTGCTGCAAAGGGCAAAGGAAACGCAGATGTTATTGACACTGTTATCCACTCGGCAATCCTTTAGCTCGTGAAACTTACGATTTTGAACATTTTTGCCGGGCTTGGAGTTCTATGGGGGTTTTTAGTTTATTGCTGTTTAAAGCCTAAGAGCTAAACTATGTTTGATGTCTGACTATGGCATGAACTGAGTTTTATATACCCTCAACTTTTACCGCAGCACAACGAAAGTGGGGAAAGGTATATCTATGTGTATGTGTGCGTGTGCAACCATTAACCGTTGATAATGATTATGGAATTATGAGGCTAAGGGCCATCAACAGCTCATCCATATCCCAGCCAAGAGCAACTAGCAACAAGCTTCTGCATTTCCAATTATCACAGCGCTCCATGGCGCTATGGGCTTAAACTAATCAACAATCGTTTTCATTCACTTTTGCTCTCGCTTGGCCGAACGAAAATGAAACCAAAATCGAAATTAATATTGAAACTCTTGAATTATACGCAACACTCAGCTGCCGGGCACACACACGCACGCACACACACACACACACACACACGCACGCACACACTTCATGACTTAAACTACGATTAGGCAAAACGACGCCCGGGGTTCAAGAAACTCGGCAGGTACACGCTCTGCGCTTCGCTGCGGCTATTAAAATAATTAAGTGTTGGTGTTAATTCATTAATTACAGTTGCTTTAGCTCTGCTCAGCTCACGCTCATATGTAAATCTCGACACTCTAGGCGAAAGCACAGCGAATACAGATGTTGCCCAATTTGCAGCTGTGACTCAACCTTAAATTTTGAGATGAGCTTTGCTCTATTAAATTATCTCTTCAATTTGTTGTGATACTAATGCTCAGACCGAAACCTGATCTAAGCCGATAGTTCCGTACCGCTTGCATCGCGAATGTAACTACATTTGATGTTATTTTATTAGCTTTTGATTAGCTCAGAAATTGTATTGCTTTGCCCATGAAATGAATTAATTAACTCATTTTCAATGGGAAATCAGGGTATAATGGTTTTGTTGAAATGTATGTAACAGCCAGAAGGAGGCGTGGCAGACCCTACAAAGTATATATATTCTTGATCAGAGCGACGAGCTGAGTTGATTTAGCCCTGTCCGTCTGTCTATCTGTCCGTACGTCCGTCTGTCCGTCTGTCAGTATGTTTGAACGCGTCGATTTCAGAAGATACAAGAGCTGCGTGTGTGTGTGTGTGTGTGCGTGCGTGTGTGTGTGACTGAAATAGCTATTATTCGAAGGGTTCAGGGGATCTCGTAGTCGAGCAGTCCTGACTAGAGCTTTCTTACTTGTTATTTCATATATACATATATTCTAGCACAAGGTAGAAATAATCATAAAACATTTTATTTTGTAAGTCAATAGAATCGCTTTCGAGAACAGGCATTCTGAAGCATTCAGGTTTATTAGAATATCGAAACAGGAATCGCAATTTTAGTATAAATTAGCTTCCAATACTCCATGATGGTACATTCAGTCGTTCACCTTTAGACAGACACCACCTAGAAAGATCTTTCGACTGGTAAGTGCCAAAGAACGAATCGCTGGATCTATTGTCATAATCAGTATTAACATATAAGTGTATAATCATCAGCTGCTTATTGTGTCGGCTTTGATTGCCTGTGCGTATGCCAGACCATTAGATGATGCCCACGCAACCGGACAGGGTTACAGCTATCCCAAACCTATTGGTAGCTACTTTTATCCATCTACTACCGCAAATGGAATCTCTGCGCAGGAACAGGGAGTTGTTGGCAAGCGTGTCACTGGTAGTTACTATTACTACACCCCAGAGGGCGAACTGATCAAGATTACATATATTGCCGATGTGATTGGATACCAGCCACAAATCACCACTCAGAGTTTAAGTCCTTGTACTGCCAAATCCCTCTGTCGATAATAAGATCATTCATTTTAGTGCTTTAAAATAAAAATAAAAAAGTTGATCAGTGTAATTAAAGGAAAGTTTCATTCCTTTGATATTTATTTCTATACCCTGGACTAGAGGTGGGCATGGGCTGTTACCGTTACTCAAAACGTAGATCCCCATTGATTCAAATAGACATGTACTGAACAAAAAACCAGCTTTTGAAAAGAAAAGACGAAATCGAAAGGTGCGACTTGTTGGATTTGTAAATAGCATAAAACATTAAAAAAAAGTAATAATTAGTGCCAAAAGCTTTAATAAATAAAGAGACCAAGGTTAGGGTTAGATTGACTTTTCTCTTGGTTTTTTTTTTTTGAAAGCAGTTGACATTGTGATTGGGCTACTGAGCCATATACCCCAGTGAAAGCTATCGCCGACAATATTATATCAGCCATAGCTGAGATAAGTCGTTTGACAGCTGAATGCCGACAATGGGACTGAGCTAATGAATATACATAATTGAGAATTTAATTAATCCAACAGCTGATAAAATATGGAGCACTCAAATAAAACGTGAAAACACAAAACTCGAATAAATATTCAAATGTCAAGCCATGATACGTATTTAGACTTTTATGATGCTCATCATCATCAACTCGATGTGGCATCCAATAGAGACAAGTATCGAAGATTGGGTATTTTATGAAAAGCAATGCGAAAGCTTGATATGCTCTAGCCCCGACCTTGAGACAGGTTTGTCGCAGCCACAATATTTAGGTCAATTATTTTTAGACGACTTGGCCTGTTGAATGTACATCAAGTGGCGCTCTTCTTATGAGTTTAATGCGCCCAACGACGGATTGCTGATGGGTCCAGATGACCCGATCCGGTCCGGGTCCAGCGGAAGCCACTTAGGCGGCATCGAACGGCGCAAGGAAGTGCCTGAGAATCGTAACAAGTTTCACTTTCATTTAAACTCAGCCAAGCGACAGACGGCACCCGTCCAATTCGGCCGTCCAGCAGCCGGTTCCGACAGCAGGCAAAAAAACAAAACGGCAAAAAAAAAATGTAAACGTATAAAGAAAGAAGATTATGTTGCCCTTAAGTCGAACGCAGCTCACGCTCTGCGTCTACCTCTCGCCCATGCACGAATACGAGTATTTATAAAAAGCATTCACAAATCTTATAAATGGAACAGCATGTAGCTGGTGCCTACTTCTCTGCTTTGCTTTTGCTTGGCCCATTCGCGATAGTGGTGCACCACTGAGTCACGCCAATATTGGCAAGTGGTATCAGATTTAACCCACTGGGGTCTGCAAAGCTTATTTTGATATTATTACCTGACTAATTAACTATTAAGTAATTTCAATTATATGTGCGCCTCTTTAGATCAACTCTTCTCTTAAGAAACCTTCTTTTATGTTAAAACGCCTATATGTGATTCATATATACTCAGTTCCAATCAAACTATTCGTATCAGCTATCTCAATTGTGTAAATGTATCAACACATGCATTAAAGTGTATTTTCCTAAGAACACGTTTTCATTATTAGATAAATATTAAGGAGTCGTCATTTGAGATATGTACATACATTTTAATCGGAAAGCACTTTAGCAAATTTGAATTAAAATATGGAATCTTAAATGATAAGAAATTTAACTAAATAAATAAGCATTTAAATCAATGCTCAATTAATATTTTAATATATAAATTTACATATCTTGCTAACATAGACTAATTAAAATAACGTTCGTGAGTCACGAAATGCAATTACAGCCAGAGCAATATCATCAGAAGATACCTTCGACGTTCCCATCCCTGTTGTATTCGCAAAATAAAGCAGAAAAGAAATCAAAGACGCAAAAAGTCAGCACACGCTGTGGCAAGGTCGTTCCTGGCTGTGTTATGAGCCTTTGGCTTTTGAGGAACGCTTTTTATGATTTTATAATAAATGAATGCGCTGATATTTAATCGACTTTTTAAGTAGTTCATATCATTTATAATAAACTTTTGTAGTTTCTTTCCGTTATGATTTCTTGTGCTTGAATTTGCCTGATGCCTTAAAATAGGTCCTTTTAAATTATGTTGGTAAAAAAAAAAAAAAAAAAAAAAAAAAAGAAGAAAAGTTTGTCACAAAAAGTGTGAAAATTAAATAACAAATATTAGATTTGTCGGACCATCAAAGCAGAAGAACATGGCTAACCAGCAGATATTGAAACAAAGGCCACATGAGCAGACGATTTATAAAAATTTATGAGCGAGCTTCCTAAAATTGAGCAACATGCATGAGCTTGTCTGTCTCTGAATGTGAATGTGTGAGTTCGCAGCAGGGCCGACAATGAGTATGGCAATATATGTATGTACATATGTATGTATGTAGTTCCAGCAGTTCAGGTTCAATGCTAAAATCCATAAAACTTGTCGCCGCTTGGGCTTGCCAGGTAATTGGCAAAGCGACTATAAATGGACTGGTACTTCAGTGCAGCAGCATTCATTCTCACATCGTCTGTACAGTGACAACCAGCACAGAGACCAACATGAAATTCGTGAGTTTATTATTTCCCTCCCCAATTGAAGTAGCTCTTATAATAGCCAATCTTCTCTTGGTTTAGTACATCTTGACCGTAGCCCTCTTGGCCGTTGCCCAGGCCCGTCCGGATTCCTTCGATGCCACCGCCGAAATACGTGAGCTCAAGAGCGACCAAAGGGAGGATGGCAGCTATGAGTATCGCTACCAGACCTCCAATGGCATAGCCCAACAGGAGCAGGGCGTGGGTGGCCAGTATGCGAGCGGCTCATCGGCGTACTACGATCCCAACGGCGAGTTGATCCAATTGACCTATACTGCTGATGAGAATGGTTTCCATCCGCAAGGAGCTCATCTGCCCACACCCCCGCCCATTCCAGCTGCCATTCTGAGATCCCTGGAATACATTCGCACCCATCCGCCAAAGGAGCAGCGACAGGGTCATGTGCGCTTCTAAGTGATGAAACCGCAACACCATTTTATAGTATTTTCTTAATTGTTTATTCTAATGATGTTCGCATAAAAAGTGATCGTTGTTCGAGCTTATCTTTGCGTTGCTGAAAAAATACATACATTACATAACATAACCCGAACAAAATCTTTTCTATATTAAACTCATGCAAATGTCCATACACATGTGCATGTGCTTCTCTATTGTACTATACATATATTTCCTTCCGAATACTTTTATTAGTTGCCGAAAAAAACCGGCTAGTAAAATTCATTGAATTTGCATGTGAATTTCAACATATTGCCAATAAAAATAGTTCTTAGTTTGAGACAGTTTTCCTATTATTTTTAAATGTATGACATAATTCGTATAACCAGAAAGTTGTTTTATACGTCAATCAGTTAAATGTAAATTAATTCTCATATCACAATTTTATTATAAATTCGCTTGAAATCTACCAGTATGCTATTATTCAGTCTTCTCCTCAAAGACAGACACCACCTGCAAAGATGTTCCGCTTTGTAGGTGCCTAACATCGCATCGCAGGATACGTGAATAGATAACAACTCCATAAAACTTTAATTAACTTGAAGCTTGAGATTGGAAATATATATTGTTGAATTGTTCATTCAAAAATCCAATACGCATTTTGAAAAAAGTCGATATAAGTGACAAGATCAAGAACCCTTAGAATTGAAAATATCTACTTTCAAATTTGTATGCCCTTATATTGCGCATTATCATAAAATGTCAAGTCCAATTTTAAAACAAAATAAACGCTTCAATCCACAATTAGCAAAGCTGATCTATTTGATCAAAATATTTGTTATACCTTTAACTCATTAAAAATGGGAAATGAGGGTATACTGGTTTTGTTAAAAATATGTAATAGGCTGAAGTAGGCGTGCCAAGGCCCCATTTGTATATTATGCATAATTGATTCACTTAAATATTTAAAAAACATACTTACATATATAATATAAAACTTGAAGCTTTATTTTAACCTCTCAATGGGCAAAATAAAATAAAATTTGCGTAAAACTTAAACTGAAAATTGAGCTTAGAACTCTAGAAGGCAATATATTCTTAAACATATATGTTTAACTATTTACATGTGTATAAATAAATGTATAATAAATGAATAAATGGACTTCTTTCTTTCCATTTGTGAACATATACGAATCTCTACAATCGATTGATATTACTCTCATTTTTACCAAATTCGAAAATATAGCAGTAAGTCTACATATGAAATTTGACATCTGAGCATATCCATGATGTTGCCGCCGCAAGTTTAGTTATTAGTGTTTCTAGACCCAACTGAGACTTGGACAGAAGTAAATCCTGTTTTAACATCAGATCTTGATCATTAAATTATCTGAATTTTTTATAATCCAATTTGTTAAGCGCGCATATTTAGCGCCTCTGCTCACAAAATGTGTTAACCATTTCTGACCGAAAAACCGGACGGATGAAAATTGAAATGAGTAAAAAAAAGTTAGACCAAGCTAGACAAACTGTAGCAGTGGAACCATAAATTATGCGAAATTTTTATAGCGATACACGCATACATGAATTTCTTGAAATACATTTTTGGGTGTGCCGGGTGGGCTCCCCGCTTTGCTCCCCTTCGGCTGTGAGCCAGGGACTGGCTTGGCATTGACACTACGCTGCATGGCTCTGCTCAACAAGCCGGCGAGCGTAAGCCCACTCACATCGGACGACTGCGTCAGAGGCAGCGGCAGCAGCAGCTGCTAATGCTGATGCGCACAGACATTCTCCGGTTTTGGCCAACTGGGGCTATTGATTGCTTTTATTTTTATTGTCATTTAGATTAATTTCCTGAACATCGGCGGACAAGCTAATTTTAAGCAATCAAGTTTATGAGAATATCGAGTCCAACATCGGATTTTTGAGTATAAATTGGCTGGCACTCTACAACTAACGCATCATTTAGTCCACCACCTAAAGACAGACACCACCTGCAAAGATGTTCCGCTTCGTAAGTGCCTAACATCGAGTCACAGGATACGTGAATATATAACTACTTCCCTATTTGCATTTCAGCTCCTTGTTGCCTCGGCTTTGATTGCCTGCGCCTATGCAGTGAGTGACGAGTCCTACGCAGTCGGAAATAGCAGAAGCGAAATAAACCCTGATGGCAGCTACAGCTACTCATATGAGACCTCCAATGGAATCTCTGGTCAGGAGCAAGGAGTGGGTGGTCAGGGTGCCAGCGGCTCAAACTCTTACATTTCGCCGGAGGGTCTCCAAGTGCAGCTCTCATACATTGCTGACGAGAATGGTTACCAACCACAGGGCTCGCATTTGCCTACCCCACCACCAATTCCAGAGGCTATTCTGAGGGCATTGGAATACATCCGTACCCACCCACAATATCAGGAGCCGATAGGTAAAGGGGCTATAAGTCCAAAACGATCGGGTGTATTATTTGGTTAAGTTCACCGAAATAATTCAGAATAACATCAAGCTGAAATATTTTATTTGGTGTTCGTGTGTGTTTTTAAATAAAAGAATGTGAATACAAACTATATATTATTATTACTCTGAAATATTGTAATATCGAAAATTTGAACTTTTGAAAGTAATCTATACTTGCAGCATATAAATATACAAGTTTACATAAATGATTTGTTAATCATAGTTCAAAGTGATTAAGGCAAGGGGAAAAGCTGCATAAATGTTTTATTAACTTGAGGCTTGAGATTGGATTTTATATGTATGTTGTTGAGTTGTTCATTAAAAAATACACATTTTGCAAAAGTCGCTATACAATGAGTATTTTATTTTTCAACTTCAAATGCTCATAAAACATATAATATTAATTAAAATTAAAAAAGTGTAAATGCTATCGGAAAGATTATATATCAATATAGGATATTTAACATAACTAACAAAGATTATACATCAACCGGAACAAAATAAAAACCGAACATTAATGTTACTCACTGTAAGTGGCACAGTCTGGAGGACTTAGAATTGAAAATTGTATGCCATTATGCTGCGCATTTTCATAAAAGGAAAGGAAAACCTGCAATAGTATATACTATGTATATATAACTGGATAATCCGATTAACAGCATTATTCAACTCAAGTCTAATTTTAAAACAAAAGACACGCTTTTCCAGCTTTCAAAGCTTCTCCCTAGACTTCTACGACATTGAAGCATCAATCGAAATCTAAATTCATCAAAATTTAATGTCTATTTAAGGAAATGCCATGAGCTATAAACTAATATATGCATATTGGGCTCTACCTTAACTTTGCTACACTTCAATCTAAAATGATTCAAAAGTCATTTAAAGACTGTGTTGAACTCGATTTGAGTGATAAACAGCAAAGCTTACTAGACACGCTAATGTAGGGGCGAAGCTCACACTAAATAAGTATAACACGCTGGCGATTGAATCTCATTAACATCAAAAACTGGTAAGCGGCTGAAAGGTAAACTGCCCAATACTACGGCCGATGCTGATGCTGTTGATGCTGGCAAATAACTAAATATATATTTGTTGTCGATGCACAAATTGAAGTTGTTTCACATTTGATTAAGTTCAAAACAAACCGCTGGCTTAAGTGGAAGAAGCAGCTCAACTTACATCAAGCTCTTTCGAAACGAAAAAATTCCAAGGCAGCATGGAAACACCTTCAATAAAGTTAGCTATGTATATGCATCTAAACTATCTATTTTCAGATTTAACGATAAAATTTTAGCATTATATTTCTGATTTACTAACTTAAACTAGGTGGTATGGTGTGCTACATAATCTTCTTAGATTCTTATTTTTTCAACTGAACTCTGGTGAAAGGATGGGACTCAATGTATTCCAATGCCCTCAAGATGTAATCTGGGATTGGTGGGGGCGTTGGCAAATGATCGCCTCTGGGCTGATATCCATTCTCATCAGCCGTATACTGCAGTTGTATGGGCTGCCCATCGGGCGCAGTATATTGCACAGATCCAGCAGCATAAGAGCCTCCCACGCCTGTCTCCTGGCCCTGGATATTGTTTGAGGTGCCATATTCGTAACTGTAGCTACCATCCAGATTAATCTGTGATCCATATTTGGTAATCACAGCATCCGATTCGTCGACAGCACTGCAGCTGGCAACAAGGCACAGCGCAACAAGGATAATGCTCTAAAGAATGATTGATTTTCAATTTAAAATTAATCTTTAATAGGATAAATACTTACGGTCCTGCTCATTTTTGTTCGGTTAAAAATTTTGTTACCACTCGGATCTCTATTGAAGTTGGAACTGATGTCGCAACGAACTGGACGGGTCTTTTATATTACCTAGCGCTGGATAGATGACCTACAACACAAGAGCCGCGGCGTCAAAATTCATATTAACAATTTTTTACGATGCGGAATTATTAATTTTTGAAACTTACATATGAATCTGACCGCGTTCCATTGCAGCTATACTTCATGCTTTTGTCATATGTATCGAATAAAATGCATATTTATTCCGTTTAACAAAGGTCGTAACTCTACTCCCATCATGAATAGCAACAGCCCTATTAATAATTACTATTCATCACTATTTTGTTAAGCTAAGACAGCATAATCTTTTTAGCATAGCTCTGATTTTAATATTATTACATACATATGCATATATATGTATACATATATATTCATATATAATATGAATATATTTCTAAGTCTATTGACTCGAATTCAGAAAGTACTAATGTTACTCTAAATTATCATTTGATTTTTATTATGATGAATGAATATATTAAATACGACTTTCCATTAAATCTGATCAAACAAATTGCTTATTAAATTATACAATTATACAAATAAGCTCTGAGATTAATGATGGTCTACATATTTACACAGCTCGCAAAATTTTTAAATAAATATTATTTGGTTTAGGCTGCAATTCATTGAATATTTACACGGAACATAAATATTGATATATAAGCTAATTAATTGTCGCTCAAAATTTTAATAAAACATTACAAATTTAAATAACTGGTAATTTATTTACATTGTTATCGGAATTTATACAACGTTACCAACACTAAAAGTCACGATAATAACTGGCAATTTACCGATATTATGCCTCAACCTAGAGGTATTCCCTCGCTAAACGTTTTAACATGAAAATTATTTTCAAATTTACAAGTAACCACTTAAAGGCCATTTAAACTTCAAACTTAAATATAATACCTATAATAAATTCGATATATTTATTGAATGGTTTTGCCCTTTGTAGCAGCTTACAATCATATCATTATCTCGATTATGAAAACATCGATAAGTACAATTTATTGAAAAGTATCGATAAATAAGTTGAATGCTTTTTTCCAGTTGTGCTAAGCAACCCTGATTGTCAGGTCTGATATCGCAATAAAAGAATAAAGAAGTAAAACGTAAGAACTGCATTTCTGTCATAATTAATTTATACACAAGCTAAAAAAAAAAACAAATTTGTTCACAATGTAGAAAGACAACAGTGAAAATGAGTAATACATACGTTCTTAATAAAATATACGTGTAAAACATGCTTTTCAAAGCTTTTGCAAACTAAAAATTTTTCTTACAAGCGCGCCATTTTGTTTTTGGACTTTCTACTTCTCGCCGTGTTTTCTTTTGTGCAAAATAATAAAATCCTCTACCATATCACGGGAAATATACAATTTTGTCGATTGCTAATTAAATAAGCATGCAAACATGTAGATGAAAAAAACGAATATAACAAAAATATAAAATAAAACGCGCGACATATGCACATATGTATGCACGTATGTACATACCTAAATAAAGGCTGCTGAAAATGTCAATACGATGAATAAACGAAGCAGCGATTAGTCGACGTCGGTCGTGGTCGTGCCTGTGGCAGAGGCAGAGGGTCAGACGCGCTAATTACGTCATAACAATCAAAGAAAATTCAAGGTCTCCCTATAGCGCACATCAGACATGAAGTCTATGTATTAGATTTCGTTACGTTTTCATTAAAAATAAAACTTAAGGCAAAAAACAGTACACAGACTTTCTGTTAAATTTCCTAGCATCTGTCAATGATGTATATGCAAGAATGTTTTTGTGTAAGTGTGTGCGTGTGCTGTCCGCGACTGTATAATTACATACACACATAAATGTGTATATATATACTGATTTTGTTGTTGCCAACGCTGTTTTTGTTGTAAGAGGCCAGAGCGAGCACGGCGCAGCCTGTGATACATAATGAAAGAGCGAAAGAGTGCGCGCGTAAGCAAGAAGAGATAACTTGACAGTGAACTAAGCAGAAGAAGAAATAGTTAATCCAAACAAATCTAAATATTGCTCTTATCAAATAAATAAAATAATATATATTCAAATGTGTGCGTATACTTATAATTTTATATTTCGCATTAATTACCATTTCAGCGATACATAAGATGCGTGCATCTGTGTATATGTATAACGGTGCGGCATAGAAACCGCCGCCAAACGTAAAAGTTTATATATATATATATGTATATATATATATATATACGCATGTGCATATGTATATCCGAAAGCAAACAGTGACGAGGACAACAACAGCGGAACTTAAAGGCGCCCAGAAAATAATATTGTACATAAACTTTAATTAAAGCAAGAAAAAAAGGGCAACAACAATAACGTCGGAACAGAAAATAGGAACAACAATAATCAATAGGCGATAAAAAGTTTTGTTATCAGCGTGTTTTCGTCATTTGGCTTTTTGGAATTGATATTGTTGGTTGGCTTGTCTTGGTATTCATTACTGGTATCTTGTTGGCATTTCGACAACTTGTTGTTGCTGCCGCGAGACAAAGTACGCGGCAGCGGCAACATCACCGCTAACGGGTGTTGTTGCTTGCGTAGACGCCAATTCCAACGCTGACGCTGACAATGTCTGTGCAGCAGTTCTGCTTGCGCTGGAACAATCACCAGCCAAACTTCATATCCGTCTGTTCCTCCCTGCTGCATAATGGGACGCTGGTGGACGTCACGCTTGCCGCGGAGGGTCGACAGCTACAAGCCCACAAAATAGTGCTGTCCGCGTGCAGTTCGTACTTTCAGGTGAGTGTTTAAATTTTTGTAGAAAGCTAAATATAGGATGCATCCATCAAATTCACATTACTTTTAACAGGCGCTATTTACGACGAATCCGTGTCAGCACCCGATTGTCATACTGAAGGACGTGCAGTACGATGATCTCAAGACGATGGTGGACTTTATGTACTACGGAGAGGTGAATGTGTCGCAAGAGCAACTGCCACACATACTTAAAACAGCCGAGATGCTCAAAATAAAGGGCCTGGCCGAAATGCCAACAGACCCGGCAAACCTCACCAAGTCAGACAGTAAGTCGTCCAGCGAGGCAACGGAACTGCTAGGACAAGCTGGCGCGAATGTTGTCGGCGCGAATGCTGGTGTAGCGGCATCTAGCTTAGGAGCGGCTAGTGGCAGCAGTAGTGCTGGTGATTCTCTTTGGAGCAGCAGTGAAGCGCAGCAGTTCCAGCAGCATCATCAGCAGCAACTACAGCAACAACTGCAACAACAGCAGGCGCAGCAACAGCAGCAGCAGCAACAACAACAACACCAGCAGCAACAACAACAACAACAGCAGCAACAGCAACAACAACAGCAGCAGCAACAACAACAGCAGCAGCATCATCATCATCATCATCATCACCAACCTCAACAGCAGCAGGCAAGCCAGGCGCAGGGTTCGCAGACGCATCATCATCAGCTACGACGAACTCCATCACCGCTAAGTGCTGGCACCTCACCGGCTACGCGGCGCAAGCGCTTGCGAAAGTCTTCGAATAACGGTGAGTGTGAGTTGGGTAAAGAATCGTCGGCCAGAATGTGAATATTTCAAAAGCTGAAGAATGGTAATTTACGTTTGATTGTTTATTGGAATTTTGCAGGCTCTGGTGACCGAAATAACTCGGAGGAGCAGCATAGCAGCTCCTTAGATGCAGCTAGCGCCGCTGGCAGCGCTGCTGGCCTTAGCCTCGCGCAAATGAGCCAAATGTCGTTTGGAGCTGGAGCGGGCAATAACTCTACAGCGGCACTAGGCGGTCTTTCGGGTCACTCGATGCATACTGCCAAGTTGTTGAAAGAGTCGGCGAGCGCTGAACTAGAGCAACAGCCACAGGACTCCGATCTGGATGACGCTCACGGACATATACATATGCAAATTGTAATGAAATTGGTCACGTTAACTATATATCCATTTGGAAGCATTTTACTGAAGTTCTTACTCTTTCATATTTGATTGCTGAACATGCAGAAGCCCGAAGTGGACATTGGCAATGTGAATCAATCGATGCCTCTGGACATTTCAGGCACTACGACACCATCGGAACACGACGCCCCCAATTCACAATCATCGCACTCGGGTAAGTTTATATCCTAAACCAAAAAGGCTCTGTCCGACACGCCATATATACAGTGTACCTTCAAAAATAAATCGTGAAGTTAATTTGAAAAGTAAAGACGCCCAAACATTAAAAATTTATAAACCAAACTTGCGACTTATTTTGTAAGTGTATTTATTGTACTTAAATATAATAATAGTACACAGCTCAGCTGCACTAAGATAAAAAAAAACACTGCAACATATAAAATCATACGCTAGATCATGCTTCATTAAGGGGTTGTACTTTTTATTGACAACAGGCTGTTCCTATAAGCCGAGTCGAGGAGCTCAACTTGGTCCCTTCCGTTTTGAGTTTTGTTGATTGATTTTGCTATCATTATCATTATTTCATTCTTCCGAATTTGGTCAACTTGAGATTCTACTGATGTTACTCTGCTACCGCTCATTCATATGTCATGCATTCATACCAGCACATACACATTCACAGCGACACCAACACGCTCACACAAGTACACACACAAAAATACGTTCGTTCAAAGAATTTGAGTGCAATATAAAGCGCTTGGAGAAATGAATGCTAAAGCTAAATATGAAACATAAGCATAAAGACTACCGTTTATCGATTAAGTGCGAATAAAAATAATTGTGTTACATGAAAATTAATGCATTTGTATGTACATGTGTATATAATTAACTATTGTGTATACTATTCAAAAATGAAATTTTACCTGAACTTGGGAATGGGAGAGAGCTAGCACAGAGTCCAAAACTAAATAACTGTATTTTACTGATTTGATTTTTTTAATTTTGTCGATTTGATTACTAAACTTTTTTGTTTGCCAAGTGATTTTTGAATTTTCTTCGTAATATTTTGTTATGGGAAAGCATTTTGAAGAGCGGTTTTCGAATGATAATGATTTAGCATTAGCAATCTTTCTACTACTCGATACCGATACCAATACCATTCTACTATACAAACTATAATATACCTGTTGTCCAATGGTTTGCCCCTATTTCCAATCTCTGATCTTGGCCAAATGATGAGCCCCGACCCCAAGTTGAGAGTAAATTTATAGCGAGTAAATTTCAATTTCAAGCCCCAACTAAAGACGAAACCAATCTTACGCTGTCTCTCTCTCTCTCTCCCCTTCCCAGGTCTGCAGTGGACAGTTGTTGATTCGAACTATTCGCGCTTCTCGATGCCCGCTTGTCAGTCGAACTTGATTGGCAACGGCAACGGTGGTAATCAAAACAGCGGCGCGAATAGCAATGCAGGCGTCGGTGCTGCCGGCACCAACGACCAGCGTCAACAGCAGCAGCAGCACGAAGCCCAACAGCAGGCAACGCAGCAGCAGCAACAGCAGCACTTGCAGCAGCTGCACTATCAGCAACAGCAGCAGCAACAACAAGGGGCCACGGCCGGTCAGGCGTATTCGTCGCAAATCATAACCGTGAATAATCTGGTCAGCGGTTATACAACTGCAGCGCAAAACCTTTCACCCACGTCTCCCAACGAGTCCAATATGGTTCAGTCTGTGTATAGTCAGGGGCCAACACCCACGCAGTCACCTGTTCATTCTGGTGTGGGCGGCGGCGGTGGTAGCAGTGCGGGTGGAAGTGCAAGTAGCGCTGGTGGCGGCGGAAATAGCAGCAGTGGAGGTGGCGGCGGCAACAGTCAAGTGGTAAAACGGAAGCGATCTGTGAACCCACAAGGTGATGAGAACTTTATTCGGGCCCTGGAAGCAGTGCGGACCGGTGGCATTGGTTTCTGCAAGGCTGCTCGACTGTACGGAGTGAACAATCGGACTCTCTGGCTGGAGTACAAGAAACGTGGCTACCCTGTGTCAAGGCCCAGCATTAAAGCGCGGGTGGTCAAACAGGAGCCCAATCTTTCACCTTCGCCAACACCATCCACCAATCCTGGCGACGATACGCCCAACGAATCATATGATCATCTAACAGCAGCTGCCGTAGCCGCAGCTCAAACTGCAGCGCTCAATATGCAGATGCCGCCTCAGGCGGATACGCCCACACCTTCGCTGATGTGCACGCCTCATCATGCCAGCGCGGCAGCGGCCTCTACGGCCGGTGGCACTAACACGCATCCTGCCATCGGCGTCATGAGCCTTTTCGACGCACGCTACATGGAGTCACCCACAACCGTGCACACTATGTCCAGGCAGCGGTATATCGATGCAACGGGTGCTGGTGCATCAGCTTCGGCCTCCGGAGCGGGCACGATCAACGTTAATCCGGCCGCCGCCATGAATCTACAGAGTATTAACTTCAACTCAATATAGAATACGATTTCAAGTCACATGGGCGTTGTGGCCGCCGCCTCAGGTGTAATGCCTCTGCAGGTGGATCAACTCAGCGGTGGCGAGGTGCATGGGCCAGGAACAGCCACAATGCTGCAGGCGGCCGCCGTTATGTCAACAAACGAGCCAGAACCAATGAGCATATCAGCCGTGCCCGTATCGGTCTCAGCAATGGGCACTGCGCATAGCGCAGCGGCTACTGCGTTTCTTTTCAATAATTTTGTAACGGTAGCGGCACCACCACCGCCACCACTGGTTGCCAGTACGCTAGCGCCACTGGTTAATACCGGCATGCAATACTTAGACAAATCCTAAGCTCCCGGGCACAGCCGTACAAGGTATACAGGTATTAGAACAACGGCATCTACTAGTGAACTACAAAGATACGGCATCGGTATCGGAATCGGAATCGGAATCGTAATCGGAAGAAGATGGGTACCATAGCAGGAATGTTTGTAAGCAGAGCCCACTAAGATTTAGTATCCCTCAAGTTAAGCAGATGTGCAGATGTGACATACAACAGATATATAATAATTTATAGAACTTAATTCCTTAAGCTACTGTTTCGAGCCGAACATTATTTTTACCATTGTTAACTAAGGAATCGGAAGTAAAGTACTCTTGTATATGTAACCACAATTTATATTTGTACATAAATTTATACAATTTTATTAGTGTTAATCATCAAAAAGCAAATGATTATGTATCGACTAGCTAGCATGTACATACAACTTTTTAAATATAAACTATTTAAAAATGGCCTCATTATTTTGATCATTCATGTAATCCCTCATTAATCCTGGCACTCGTGTTACAAAAGCAACCTTTATTACGCATACATTCTAATTCGTATAATTCATTGTATTATACATACATATATATATATATATATATATATATATATATATATATATGTTTTGTGTACAGTTAATGGCCAATCAGTTTTTAGTTCAAATGGGTGTTTGTGTCTAGTTGATGGGGAGTGGGTCTGCCGTTAGACGGACAGTGTTTAAATCCGTATAAAATAAACCGCAAAGCAAGTTAACCATCAAATATTTAATAAAACCAACTCAATAATGTATAATGTATATGTACGTACCAATATTTACATGTGTTAATGTACGAATTCATTTTGTATTTTCGATTATGGTATGGATCTTACGTTTGTAGACCAATCAAGCAACCAAATGATCCACATGGAAGCAATAATTTTTATCAGGGACTGTTTTAACATATTCATCACAAAAATCACATCCAAATAATTTCAATGTTGGCAATTTACACACCATTCCAATAATAGTTTCTGTTGAATATATATATTAAATTAGATCACTTTGTTTTTTGTTTGGAGTGCAATTTCACATATATTAGACATATCTGACGAGGGATGCTTGGTTTAATAATTTTGAAATCCTTAATTGTACATAATTTCGATGTACGAATACGATTAAAATAGGACTAAATGGGCAAGCCATATACGCAATATACAAAACTAAGATAACTCGTAACCACCCAAAATCCTAAATGGAGACTGCAGAAAGTAAAGGAAAACGAATAAGAGTAGTGTGTTTTTAATACAGTATATATATACATAATAAAAACAAATAAGTAATTTAATAAAATGAAATATATATATACATATAAATGATAATGTATGTAATTAATAAATAACTTTTTATATTGTCGCGAGGCAAAGTAAAAATTAAGCGTGATTTGTTAGAAGTCATTTATAACGTCAAACTTTGGTAATGCATTTTATTTCCTACAACTAGATGCATAGTGCTACACAAGCCAACAAACAACAAATAATAGAAAAAAAAATAAAAACAAACCAAACGAAATACGAATTCATCAAACATAATAAATATACAAAATAAACAACGCAAAATAGCATAAACAATAATTATGACTAACTCTGTTTCCTACAATTGCAAAAGTACCAATAACTATGGTAGTTGTGTATGTGTTTAACATATAGTTATATGTATACATACAAATAAATATATGCATATATATTACTTATATATGTATATATATATTACTTATATATGCATATATATACATAAATAAATATATTTAATTATTTACATTTAATGTACTTTTAGTCAGCGGTAGTAAATGAAACGACTGTAAAATAAGTTACGAAATTATGTACGATATAATGTAACTAACAAACGAACCTTTTAGACTTTAGGCTTCGATGTGCAAGAAACGAATAAAATTAAAACAAAAAAGTCAGACATTCATAATTCATTTAAAAACTCATTAGCTAGTTAATTATTTAAAAAAAAATCCATGAGGCTGCCATTAAATCGTGTGTTTTGCTTGCAGAGCCCAGTCCGGCGCATGCCCCGCAGCATCATCCCACGCTGGCGATCAGCCACAGCCAGGGCACCAATACGAGCAGCAGCAGTGGCAGTTTTGAGCGGACGCCAAGTGAAACGGATGCTGCAACAGATCTGCAGACATCGCAGTCGACAGCTGCGATGGGGTCCAAGCGGAATAGAGTGCTCACCAGGCAGCCTCGGGTTAAGCGGGACAGCGATAGCCTAACGTCGACAAATCAGATTTCACCGGATACAGCCGCTACGACACTTGACTTTGATCCGTTTAATGCGGCGGGCACAACCACCGCCATAGCCAGGGACTACTCGACACACCATCACCACCAGCCGCAGCACCATCATCATCACCTGTTGACCGTACCACCTCGAATTGAGCGGCACGCTTCTGAGCCGGCGCCGAGCCTGGCATCGCCGACGCCGCACCTGCTAAGCGTACCGGCCAGCACACCATATCTGATTAAGCAGCATTCGGATCCGCTGTTGCCGCGTCAGCATTCGCTGCATGCCACCGGCACGGGCAGCATTACTGGCAGTAATCCGTTTGCGCCATTGCATCGTCAATACTCGCATCCGCTGTCTGGAAGTAATGCAAGCTATGTGCCACCTGCTCCACTCCACCATCCACATCATATCTCGCTGCCTGAATCAATTTACGCTTCCGGCTCGCCGCCGCCAGCCGGTTCATCGCAGTACCTGGTACCAGCACGCGTCGTCACTTGTAACGCTTCGTCCAGTGAGACCGCAGCCACGCCCACTAATTCAAGTGGCACGCCCGTTTCGGTGGTAACGTCGCCACCGGCAGGCCTCAACAGCAACAGCAATCGCCAGCCATTTTCACCAACGTACGGCAGCAGCACGGAACAGTCGCCCATTCCGGAACGCCGCTCGCCCCACTCACCCATCACAAATATTGTGGAGCGCAGTAGCGCACGGGTCGAGACAGCAAATGGCAGTGGGAATAAGTTACGCACATCCAAGTCAACTGGCAGCAGCAGCAGTAGCAGCAGCATTCACCTGCATCCCAACCAGACCGCGACGACGAGTAGTTCGTTTGAGCATTTGCCCACGCTACGCGTGAAGAACGAGGAACTGCAGCGCTCGGTGTCTTCTCCACAGGTAAGAAGATTAACGTATTCCTAACTTGAAATCATTTTGATATGTAAACTTTATCACTCAGACCCAACGCGAAATAACTACATTGGAGAACCCACGTTCTAGTCATTGTCCCGTCATTCGTCCTGGCCCGGCGCTGGGCTGCAATTTCTGTTGGAATACCATCGATGGACATGGTCGCATTTTGCGCCGCAAAACGAAATACCACTGTCCCGAGTGTCAAACGAATTTATGCATCGTGCCGTGCTTCCAGGAGTACCACGAGCGGCTCAAGAATGAAGCAGCCGCCGCCGAAAGTCAGGCCAACACCAGCAGTAGCAGCAACAGCAAAGGAACAGCCTATGCATCATCAGGCGGCTCAGCTGCTCGGCTCTACACGAAAACCGAATCGATATAAGCCGCGCCATGGAATCGCATGCAATGGCTTACATATTTGTATTTGAGACCCGACGGGCCATTCCACGAATGGTCGTCGATGTCGAATTTGTTGTTTGTCGCCAGGAAGTGCAGCTGTAGCGCCAATTAAATGGCAAGTCAGCGGCACACTCTTCATCCTGCATCGAAATTTTTTATTTGTCACAGTTCCACTGTCCACGACGAATCAAGTACCTGGACACGGACTGTTCACGCGCATTGAAGCGCAGCAAGATTTGTTTTTGTATCTGCGTCTCCATTTCGGAGGCGCAGTGATGTAGAGTACATACATGTACATGCATACATACATGGATACATACCTACATGCAGGCATGCGAACAAGTCACCTGTCACATGTCTGTCAATGCACAAGAAACATTTTTAAAACTAATTGTAAAGCGAGCTATGTAAATGTAAAATTATTGTTATGTACATACATACGACGTGTTTGTATGTAAACTCTTGTACAAATTGGAGAAACGAAAATACATATAAATCGAGAAATAAAAAAAAGCATCAGCGGTGTACAACTAATCAAGCTCGAATCGACACATTACAGCCCATTAATATATATAAATCAAAATTAACTTCTATAGTGAAGTGCAACAAACTTAAAAACTTCCCGCCAAATAAAAAGAAACGAAAACACTAGGATTGAAGGCGTGATGACGCCCCTAACACCTGACGCCTTTAAGGCCAGGCACCGCTGCGCAGGCGCACGATTTTTCACCTGGTAAATTGAACTTTGTGTAAAAAAAAATTAAAAAAAAAAAAGAAGAAAAAGAATGTCTTTTCAAGAAAATCCATATGCATTCGATATGCGTATATATAATCTAGCACATTTGAATGTAAAAAGTATTTTGTGAAAATGCAAATGCGAAAACGAATCGCTAATCAAATTATATTGTCAACATTTCGCTGCTGTTCAGTTCGACTTATATATTTAGACAATATATAAACAAGAGTACAAAATTAAGTTCGACAGCAATAGCAGGCAACCTATGTCAGCTAAACCAAGTTAAAAATCAATTTTAAACCAATTCAATATAAGAAAACAAAAAGTTCATTCATTTTCGAAAGCGTTATTTCTTGGTGTTGTAATTCGATGAAAATATTTTGTAACCAGCTCATGAGAATTTAAGAAAATCTATTTTTGCACTCCTGATATGTGTGCGTGTAAACTTGTAGATCAATCAAAAATTGTAATTGGCTACTATTTCCAAATGGTAGATGCATAAAAGCGTATTTTATAGAACTTGACCTTATCTATTTTCTTACTACATATTAGAATCGGACTCCCAGAGCCTGAACGCAACGTTAAATCTATGTGACGTACCGTTGATTATCAATAAATCATTGTTTTTAAATTTACAATTTCTACATATCATTTTTATTGATAGTTTTCTATATAATTACCATTTAACAAGGCTCACATCGAATCGCTTACTTCTTAGCACCAGCGGCAGCCTTAGCTGGCTGCACCACCTCGGCTGGTGGGTTTGCGTTACGGAAGTTAGGAAACTGCTCCCATGGTGCCGATAGATCGAACTTTCTGAATTCCTGTGCCAACTCCAAGGGTTCGCAAACAACGCGTTTCTTCTCATCATCATAGCGCAACTCAACATAGCCGGACAATGGGAAGTCGCGACGCTGTGGATGGCCCTCGAATCCGTAATCGGTAAGGATACGACGTAAATCTGGATGATTGGCAAAGAAGACACCATACATGTCCCAAATCTCGCGCTCATACCAATTGGCTGCCTTGTGAACTTCACAAGCCGAGTCGAGGGGAGTTAGCTCATCGGTGTAGGTCTTAACCCGAATACGAGCATTATAACGAAGCGACAAAATGTTGTAGACAACTTCGAAGCGATACTTGCGACACGGCACATCCACACCTGCGATGTCCACCAGGTTAGTAAACTGTGCTTGATGATGATCCTTCAGAAACTGTAGTACCGGTACAACACCCTCGGGAGCAATCAGCACCTCCAGTTCATCACCAGAAGTCAATTGCACCTTCTGAACGTACTTGGGCATGCATTCGGCAACGTATCGGCCAAATTCAGACAGGCTGGAGCGAGCAGCTGCATCCGGTTTGCGTACAGTGGCTACCAAATAGAAGTCAATTTTCCATGAGTAAGGTCTTCTTGTTAACCAACCCAAAATACTTACGTTTTTCTGCTGCTTTGGCATCAACTGGCGCAGTACTTTGCATACGGAAGGCAGCTGTTCCAGCGGGTACCACTATGTATCAATATATGAATTAGCGCTAATTGAGTATGATAAGTATTAAACATTTACCATGCTTGGCCGTCAAAGCGGCAGAAGCAATTCTGGCACCCAAATTTCTAATTAATGCGGCCATACGCTCGATTAAATCAAATATTTCAGTGCAAATCCAATAATTCACTGAATATTTGACACTTTATGTAATAACAAAACGTCAAAAAGCCAGTGTTGAGTAAATAATTTTTTGCTTAGTGAACTAGATCATCGACAATGCTCAATTTTGTTCCTATATTCTCGTATTTCTGAGATTTCTATGGAACAGAACAATTGTCTGCTTTCACATGCCTAAAATAATATTCAATGTCTACACTAATACTAATGACAACCAGCAAAAATTGTGAATATAAAATTGTACGTAGAAATTACTTGGAGACGGAATAAGCATAAAAGAACAAAATGAGCATTTTGTGTTCAGAGCTGAGCTCAATTTAATGAACCACCCAGCGCAAATTCAGTGCGAACAGTATTGCCAACAAGCGAAAATATTTTGTGAAATAAAATAATTCTTTTATTTGAGGCTTTACAATGATTTATTTGGTTTATAAATAAATGTGTAGATAAGACTCCATATTGTTTTTAGAATTTTTTAATCTAACTAAATTTTGAAGTATTTGAAATTGTAGTAGCGTTAATCATGTCTGGCAACTCTATTGCTCTCCATTTTCGTAGCGTTTCGCTTGCAGCTCTGGAATAGAATAGAATCCGATTTTTGGAAAATAAAACACAACAAACGAAAATGGTAATGGTTTTTGGAACAAATGCAAATGCCGACAACTTTGTGCGTTTTGTTTACATTTGAAATTCGATTATCTTTCCACAGAATCACCTGAAATGGATGGGCCACTCGTCCACAATAATGGATATACAGCGCGTTCTGCTACATCAACAAAGCAACAATCAGCAATGCGAAGTATTGCTTGTGGCCAAAGATGGCATCAGCGTACGCGCCCATCTCTTCGTTTTAAGCACTTGCAGCGATTTAATGCGCAATCTGCTTGTCGATTTACCCGCCGGTCAGGAAGCGACTGTCATTTTGCCGGACATCCGTGGAGAGCTGCTCGAGAATGTTCTATCGTTTATTTATATGGGGGAAACTAGTTTGACCTCTGCCCTGCTACCCGAGTTTCTGGGGGCCATAAATTTACTGGGCATCAAATCTGCCATAAGCTTTGATACCAATCCAACATCCATGACGACCTCAAGTGTTATAAGTGGCGCTATGGCTGTCGAAGAAGCCAAATCAATAAGCGGCTTACATATTGCTAATACTGCGCTTATGGAGGAGGAGGAAGAAGAGGATGCCGGAGCTGTTGTCGGTAAATTGGAAGTGGATAATGCCGTACTCACAAATCCTCAACAACAACACGAGCAGGAAGGCCGAACCCTGGAATTCCTAGATGTTTACAGCGAACAGCCCAAAATCACATATTCAATCGAACACATGGGCGGCACAACCAGTGGAAATCAGTATATATATACAGAGAACACGGGAACGTATACCATAACACAGTCATCCGTAGGAAAGTTGGGAGTGCAAGGCAGCTCAGCTGTGGTCGACTCAGTGGAGACAGCTGAGCTAGGTGACGAGGATGTCGAGGCTGAGGTCACAGACGAGCACGAAGAATCCGAGTCACAATTAATCGAGGAAGAATATGTTGGATCGGCAGATCCTTTAATAGAGATGAGCGCAGTGGCGGATGTTGATATGCACGAGGATGGAATGCATGACGGAGACGAGGAGGAGGATGATGAGCTATTGGATGTAAAACCTCGTAAATCTCAGCTCGATATGAAAATTTTAAAATTCAAGGCCCGCCAGCGTCCAGCATCATCGAAAGCAATAAAGAAAGCAATGACCAAACAGCATCAGCAGCACGCAGCGCTTAAAAAAGAATGTAAGGAAGATCTCAATGATGCCCTCGACCTCGCAGCGGCTGCGGTTCTTCACGAAGGCCTCAGCTTGCAGAAAGCTGCTGATCGCTACGACATATCGAAAACCGTACTATGGCGACGTGTGCGCTCGAATCCAGCCTACATGAGAATAAAACGAGAGAAACCTTCGCTTTCGGAAGCATATGAACGCCTAAGGAACGGCGACTCATTGAAAAGCATAAGCCAGGATCTGCATATACCCATGTCGACGCTGCATCGGCACAAAGTGCGTCTGGCCGCACAGGGCCGCCTGCCCCACTTTGTTGCTTGCCGGCGGCGTGACAGTACCCCAAAGGATGAGCTGCGTGAGAAGCTAGCAAAGGCAGTGCATGCCTGCATCAACGATGGCATGACCCAAAATCATGCAGCCAATCTCTTTGAAATACCTAAGAGCACGCTCTGGCGGCACTTGCAACGGCGAACAACCGAGGCGGGGCGTAAAGTCAAGGAGGAGCATGAAGAAGAGGATGATATGAATTAGAGTTCATATGCCTATACATACATACATATGTATATGCGTAAGCATACATACAAACATTCGTACACATGCATACATACACACATGTACATTACACTTAAACACCTTGCGATTGTAGAAATAATGTAGTCCTAAGTTACATCTGTCACTAAATTGTTTATATAATCTATCATATACATTGATGCCTATAGGTTACCTATAGCATACATAATATATTTACATCATAGCTCTCAAATTAACCGTTTTTTTCTTGCAGTCTGTATGTGAGAATAACTGAAACAAGCATGTACACTCGCTCTCTGAACATCAGACTTCCTTTCTTTTTGTTTTCGGTTTCTGTCGAGTACCGATTCAGTTGAGCAGTTCGTGAGACGCTCTTTTATTGAGCATCGCACAAAGAGAGATACGAGTGAAGTCCGCACAAAGACACTTATTAAAAGACCGATTGACAGAAAAAGTCAACGCAAACGATCTTTTTATTTACTTGTCATCTTTTCGATGCACAGTGGTGGGACAAACCGGTCTGGGTGCTACGTCACCAACATGACAATACCTTCGAATTTTGAAATATCCTTTTAGGGGGATATTCTTAAATACCAAAACTATCGAAATGTGGAAAAACAAATTTCCCATTTTTTCAAAATTCCAAACTAGAATACGCCCTTAACTTGGAATAAATAAATAATAATGCGATGATGGTTTTACAAAATAAAGTTTTGTAAATAATTCATTTATTCTGAATTGAGCTTAACAAATAATAACGAGTTTAAGTTGTGCGAACTTATTGAGCTCTGTCGTTCGCTTAAAATATAATGCAAAGCTGAAAATGCTCTTTCAACGGACACTTGAGTAGCCGGTGTAGCCAATACGACATGTGCCAGATCACTCAGCTGTGGTGACTTTAGTTTTACATCGCTAAAGAATTGTAATATATCGGCATTTAATGGTAAACGACTATACATCTTGTCGAAATTATCCACTTCAAAATATATTTTTACCAGTTTGTCAGAAATTGGCTCTTCTATTGATTCTGGAACAGTCTCCACGTCGTCCAAATAAGCTGAGGAAGGCGACTTTATACTCCGTCTTTCATGTTTCAGCTCAAACAGGCGAAAAGCAATTTTCTTCAAATTTTGCGTTGCCAAATATTTTTGGTAGTCTGTTAAACTCCGATTCACTCGTGGATCCATATAAATAGCAGATAATAATGCTGTGTTTTCAAGCAACTTACTTTCTCGAAGTTCAATCTGTGCCAATAATTTTTGTTTAAGAAAATTTTTGCTGTTCTGGCACTGCAGTTTCAGTTCCGTCCATATAATGAAAAATTCGCTGTACACTAAATGTTTCTCCTGAAGCTTTATAGTCGCATCATATGCGTCCTTGAACGCTTCGACATATGTCTCCACCCAGTCCCATTCTATGTCGGTATTAATACAACACTTTGTGGCCAGGAACTCTTTTAGCTCAATTAGTTGTTTCAACATTAAGTACGTTGAATTCCAACTGGTGACTACATCGAGTGATGGTATATTTTTGTTGTGCTCAATTAATATACGGCTGCCAAGTTACATATTTCTTTTAAGCATGTATAAAAAAATATATTTTTATTTGTACTTTACTTACCTCATAGTTTCTGTACGCAATGTTTTGCATAATTTGCGACAGATATCAATTTGTTGGCTAATTTTGTTTAGCTTATTAACGTCATAGACGCACAGCTGAAGAGTGTGCGCTGCACACCGTACCAGATGAATGTTTGCCAAACTCACTTCATCAAGCTTTCCCATCCAATTTTCCGCTTCGGTGTCATCTTCAAAAAAAGGCTCCTCCATGTCGTCATTTAATATTTTTACGGTTTTCACCATGTTTCTCCCATTATCAGAGGTAACACTGTGAACATATATTTAATTTTCATTAATAACAAACATATTAAAATTAAATTGAAATTAAATGTTCACCTGAATATTTGATCAACTGTTATGCCATATTCTTCAATAATTTCCAAAATCTTTTCTTTAATATAATCTCCAGTGTGGGTATAGGTAAGCTGGATCATGCCTAACGTCTTCACAATGATTTCTGTCTTACTTATATTACTCATTATCATTTGCAGATTCACTCCAAGAATCGCTTTATCCATTCTAGTCGCCACGTCAATTTTGAGCGATAACAGCTTTCCCTGGACTAAAGCTCTTATGTCGTTTTTGATGGACTCTTCTCTTTCCACTACGAGACTCATAATGTTCCTAGATGTTATAGGGTTCATACCAAGGGCATTATAAATTGGATCAACAATTTCTTTAAATCCCTCGCTGTCCAAGAACATAAATGGCTTTCCGTCAGTTGTTACAATTTTAATAATTGAATTTAAAATACTTTCTTCACTCGTTTCATATGTAATTTTTTTCTTCTTTATTACTTTACTTTTATTCTCCTCTTCGGTGTCAAACTCTCTAATTATTTCACCATGTTTAACATGCAAATGGCGCTTCAAATTTGTTGAGTGATTGCCTGATAATTGCATTCCGCACACCTTACATACTGATTTACGTGTTACTGAATTAAAGTTAAAAAATTGATGCACTTTTTTATTGAGTACACGTCCCATTTTTCTCAATTGCGGCACAACTCACAGAATTTCACATATGTATGCATGTACATACATGCGCAAATGACTTTGCATCGTTGTTCAGCACCAAACGGTCTGTGAACGAGACGAGCAATAGAGAACGAAAAAAACGGTCTTCGACTGAGAGCGA